GTTAGGATTAGAAGATATTATTCAAGAAGTATGATTTAATGAGAAAAGTTTAGAAAGTCAAAACTAGAGGTGTTGAAGATTCCAGAAGATTAGGATTTGAGAGAACACAAAGAATAAATGCACCGGCGCCATTGCGAACGATTTTGAGCCATGTCATTCAAGGTCTCTAACCATCGATTATTATCATCTCGCGGATCCCAACCAGGTAGTCGACAATTACTGACATGGCTAAGTCCACTTGTCAATGACTTCATGGATTTCTGCCATGTTTCGGTCTGGCCGCAGCCAGCTTTCTTCCAACCTACTCCTAAACCACAAAACATAGCTCGTCGAGGCAGTCGGTGGTTAGGCATACGCAACAAATGTCCCAACTACCTCAACTAATGAAGTTTCACCACTTCATCTATTGATCTGCCATTCTTACCTAGCACCCGTTTCCTAATAACAGCGTTGCTCACTCGGGTGTCCCACGATATACGAGCAATGCTTCGAAGACACCTATGATCGAAAACCAGTAACCTACGAATATCTTCTACTCTCACTGGCCATGTTTCACAGCCATAAAGTAACACGGAGCGAACTACTGCACAGTACACTCGTCCTTTAGTCAGCAAACGGATATCTCGCCTTCGCCATAAGTGACGCAGGTTGGCAAAAGCCAATCGAGCCTTTTGTATCCGTGCTGAGATTTCGTCAGTCACCAGGCCATCGGCACTGATGAGACTCCCAAGATAAATGAAGCGGTCTACACGTTCGACTACCTCACTGCCTATCACTAGTTCAGGTGCCGATGAAACCCAATCTTGAAGCAACATTTTGCATTTCGAGGGGGAAAACCGCATACCGAACATGCTCGCATTGTTGCTAAGGGTAGTCAGAAGACTCTGCATTTTGTCAGCGTCTTCACCAAGTAGGACAATGTCATCGGCATATTCTAAGTCAATAAGCGAGCCACATGGTAAAAGCTCTACTCCCGAAAATTCAGACGAGGATAAGGTTATTTCTAGCAGTATGTCTATGATAAAATTAAACAAGAATGGAGAGAGTGGACATCCCTGACGGACACCACTTGAAGTGAAGAATTCCGGTGACAGTTCGCCATAGGCTCTCACCCGACCAGTGGTGTTCGAGTAGAGAGCTTGTATAAGGTTAATGCACTTCTTTGGTACACCTTTCAACGACAGACACTGCCACAGAACCTCACAATCCACTGAGTCAAATGCCGCTTTTAGGTCCAGGAAAACAACTTTTGTAGGACGCCTAAATGTGTGTCTGTGTTCCAGGACCTGTCTGAGTGTGAAGATGTGGCCTATACAACCACGTCCAGGTCGAAAACCAGATTGGTTTTCTCTAGTCTGCTCTTCACGAGCTTTCGTTAGGCGCCGAAGTATTATTGAGGCCAATATTTTAGATACCATGTTAGTTAGACTTATTCCCCTGAGATTGTCATAAGAAGACTTTTGTCCTTTCTTATAGATTGGGACAATCAGTGATTGAGACCAGTTGGATGGGATTGTGTCCAGTTCCCAGATTCTACCTAAGATCTCGGTCAACCTAGTTGCTAAAACTGGACCACCATCCTTAAATATCTCAGGGGTCAGTCTATCAGCACCCGCAGCTCGCCCTCGCTTCAGATTTCCTAACGCTTTTTCAACTTCATTAAGACTAGGGGGACTTACGTCGATTCGCCATTCAGGATGACTGGAGATCGTGGGTAACCGGAGAGTGGCTCGAGGCCAGTTGGACTGATCCTTGAAGTGTTCTGCCCATCGATCCAGTCTCCTGGATTGAGAATAAATAATAGTTCCGTCATTTTCTGATATAGTCTCACTTACACTAGGATTCCTAATACCAGTTTGCTTGATAAGTCGGAAAAGTTGTCTACTGTTGCCGATCGCCGCTGCCTTTTCCATCGCTTTTGCTTTCGCCACCCACCACTGTTCGCGATCGTTACGTAGGCTTTTTATAAGTCAGCGCCTAAGTTGACTTCGTTCTTCATCATGTTCAGAGCCAGGTGGGATGAGTTTTCGGGCATCCATCAGATCGGAGGATGCTACTGAGATCCAAGGCTTCATTCTAGCCTTATGGTTTACCTTACTAGCAGATATCACTGCTGTTTCCACAGCCTTTTTGATATCATTCCAACCTGCCTCCGGATGGGAATCGCTTAAATGGTCGCCTAACTGTCTTTCTAGTTGTTCCTGAAATATATTCTTCACCTTATTATCATTAAGTAAAACCCTAAGAGGATTTCTTACGGTGTCTTTCCTACGCCCAGTAAGCTTCAAACAAATACGAGCTCGCACTAGGGCATGATCTGAATCTAAACATGTGCCCCGGAACGAGCGACAGTCTTCTATCGAACCCCTCCATCGGTGGCTGATGGCGATGTGATCTAGTTGCGTCCAACGTTGAGACGACTTTGGAGGTCGCCAGGTCAACAGATGCTTTTCCTTATGCCTAAAGTTAGTGTTTGCTAAGAATAGGCGGTTGTCTGAGCATACTTGTAACAGACGGTCACCATTGTCTGTTCTCTGAGTCGCGACACCATAACATCCACCTAGGTGTCTTTCATTTTCTTTCAGTCTACCTACTTGAGCATTAAAGTCACCAGCCATTAATACTATATCAGAGCGCCTAGCTTTTTGGAGGAGGTCCGAAAGCTTTCTGTAAAACTCACCTTTAACCTCGTCTGAACTGCAGTCAGTGGGGCATAGGCAGATACGATGAAGAGGCAACGGCGAGTGTTCCTATTTTTCCGAGTCCTTACTGTCTCATTTAGTCGGACAGCGCACAAACGACTATCTGCAGGGATCCAGTCAAGGAAGGATTGTTCCGCTCTACGACTCAATGCTATGCCTACGCCAGCAAGACCCCTGGAAGCAGCATCAGGGCTACCGGATACACGAAGAGTAAATCGAGCTGCTTCTTTATTTTGACAAGGTGAAATCAAATTAATAATTTTACTAGGATCCTGTATGCGCGTTTCCGAGACGCAGCATACATCAACGGCACGAGATTCTAAAGTCCTAGCTAATGATGCCTGTTCCCCTATTTGACACAATGTCCGTACATTAAATGCTCCGACACGTAGTCTAGAACGGGGTTTAAGGAGACCAGGAACGACGTTTCGCGAACTCGTGTCGTCTGCATTAGCTGTGCACTGTGATAAATGAATGTGAGAAGAGTTAGTCGTGGAGATAAGAGAGGTACTAGGAGGTGTAGAAAGGATTTGATTTTGACCAATTTGGTCTCGCGGTTTGGTATGAGGGCGGTTGTCACTTCCCGGCTGCTCACACCGTGGAAGGTTGTTTCTTGAGAGACCTGAAAAGGAAGATGGATTAGTGTTGATCTTAGAGACCTGGGTGCGTGACCGCAGAGCCCAAGGGACAACTGCTTGAGGCCGGTCACTCACGGCCTTTTTATGAAACGTTTTTTGAGGATTAGCTCCGTTTTTAAAGGCCCCTAGTGGGCACCCTTACCCAAGGAGACGGAAATCCGTCAGGTAGGGTGAGGTGTGACATTTTTAGGGTCGACCTTTTCTAACCCCTACCTTCTTTGTGAGAAGGCAGCATCACTGCAAATGCTGGTTGTCCGAGGGAAACACCTTACTACTGTCACGCCCCTTTGCAGTCAGCAGTACGACTTCGCCCTCAGACCTTGAGTAGCTTTTAGTCTCATCGTTCTCCAATCGACCAGCCTGGCATGGTAGAACCTGCAGGAACGTATGTTCCAGCCAGTATAGGTCGGTTGGGTCATCACGATAGGCAAGCCCGACCACCACGTCAAGGTAGCAGCTACGGTCGGGCATCTGGTCTGATGTGTCTGTAAACTATCTCTCTGTTGCATGTGACATACTAATTGAAAGACATCATTATCCAATTATATTAATGTGACCCATAATTTTATTCATTTTGATAAGACACGCAAAATTGGTTGCAATGTTTGTTCGTTTTACCTAACAGTTGTAATTTCCTCAATTATTGTACTAATTTAATTGTTTTTACGGTTAGAAACATATAAAGTTTAAGGCCAAGATGTCCTTATTCCGACTATGGCTTTCACATAAACTGTGCTTACCAGTACCGTGTTTACGGTTCTAGTAGTATATCTGTAGGACAAATAAAATCCAACGGTAAAATCCCATTTCCAGTTGAGATAAATAATTCTAGAGTAACAGTAGGTATTCACGCAACACATTAAGATTGGATGTTTCACTTACGATAAGAATTGCAATTATCCATTTATGTATGTCAAGCTTACGCTAGTATTGCCGAAATAAATTAACTAATGTACTCCTAAACAGTATAGTAGCCCACAAATATACCCCTACACATTCGCTGAGACTTAAAGAGGTAAAATTTTTACCAATTTGCGTGAACACAGCAAAAATATCAAAACAAAACTGAAGCGTGTCGTTGTGTCATATTTATATCTAATAAGTATCACTTCTTAATAATTACTAAAATGATGAACACATTATTTATCTTAAATGAAGGTCACGTAGAAAAATCCATATGAACTGGATCAAAACAAATATGGACGAATCTCGAATGCATAAGGGCTTATAGGACTAGAAATATTGTCGAGAATGTGTATGATTATCATTTACAAGAATGCACAGTACAATTCTCCCCTAGTTTATAGAAACTAAACTCTATAATTAGGTTTCGCCTTTTAGCTGCTGACCTTAAAACATTAGGCAGGACAAAAGCTATATCGGGAATTATCAAATATGAACTAAATAACAAGTACAACCACGCGTTTCTGTATTAAACGAGTTAGAGGAGCACACATGGAATAATCGCGGCACGGATCAGCACTTTTACATGAGCTACAAAACAGAAACTACTCAAACGTCTTTGGTCGGCTTTTGGGACAGATAAGACACAACTAGCCAAGTCTGACTTTGGAAAGCATACAAATAGTCAAATGGCCCATTGAAAATAGAATTACAAGGGGCTATTCTTAAACTTATGAAACGACACATAAGAACTGACCTGAGAACATATTTTCGCATTTTCCAGATCTGAACTTAAACAGGCCATTTCTTGGGCATAGCCAACAGATATCATTAGAGGTAAATCCAAAAGATACACATGCGTTATAATTTCAAAACTCCCACCGGAGCTAATGGTTGAAATGTCCGCTTATATTCTTCATTGAATTTGCCTCCTAAATTCCTTGAAAGTACCTACATAAAACATAAAAAGGCATGTTAATTCCTGGTTATCCTTTCAAAAACATAACGTTTCATGTTTTGATTGTTTTGTAACCACTTTAAAACAATGAGAAAATGAGCTTTAGTGAAAACGTCATTAGTATCCAATATATATTGAATATATGAAGCCTCTGTAATAATAGTACCGTTTCAATCCTTGGTAAAGATGAGATCTCATCTCGTAAAAGTGATCTTATTACAAAAATACGTTACTATCGAACCTGAAGAGTTTGAAGATAATAGAGTTTTGGCTCCTCATGTTGACAGCTGGAAGTCTATTCAACGTACTAGGCTTGTGAGCTAATCTGATATCCGTGAAAACCATAAACTTCTAAACACTATCAGGGGCTTCGGCGGTCCCGCAGTGGAAGGCGGTAGATATACCTTAATTCTGCCTAAACAATGACAGTCGGTTGACACAACACAAATGTGGTGAGATATCGCATCCTAGTAAGGAAGTAAATATTTATCCACGCACACAGTGGGTTGCACTTAAATTTTCCAAAGAAGCACTAAAACGTAGAAAATTTAAAAAGCTAATAGCGTTAGTATCATCAAAGAAGTGGCCACAGTGAATGCCATACTTTGTCACAATGTCACGAATAATGCCAGAGCAAGTAAGAGAGATCATTATTATGGGGCTTGAGCTCATCCTAGAAGATTATCCAGGAAAAAACCTGCAGTTCACTAATGTCGATGATCTGAGTGGATGATCGTGGTTTTCTTGAGTTGGAGGGAAGTAGTGTAGCCACCTTGCTTATGTCGAAGTCAAGCCTTTCGAATAATGATTAATCTCGCTTACAATACTGTAACAGACAGGTTCCCTGGCGTCTTGGTGACTGTCCAGAATAAATTCTCACAATGAGTAAAATGAAACTCTGCCTAGTGCCCTTCTGATGTTACTGCCGGTCCCAAGCCTGGATAAAGTAGAAAGGTAGGGCATGAGGTTAGCGACCCTCTTTCCGAAGAAAACCAAATCTATGTAAAAAAGCCAGCCGAAATAAATACCATTTAAACACTGCTCTGCCAGTCTGAAGTTCTTGATTTACGAGAGTTAACACGCCTCATATCGAATGCCGAGATTCTTTGAAAATCACGAGGCCCATGTCCCTTCCCATAACCGCTGCAACCATCAATATAAGTACACTGAATGTTCGCACAATATGACAGACCGAAAGTACTATTCAAGTGGCTATGAAAATAAATTGATACAACCTGGTGGTGCTTGTGATCATTGAAACCAATTGACAATAATGATGGATGAAAACGGTAGGATAATCGCAAATCTCTGTGCCTTCACCAAAACTGTCATAGCAACACCATATTGCTTCACGAACTTATATACAAGGATACATGGGTTTCACCAGATCACACCAGTCCTAGTGGGTTATGGAGGCGTCAAAATCTAGAGGAAAGCACGAGATATAGTGGCAGATCTTATGCAGCTGGATTATCTGAACTTCACAGCTGACTAAGCACTTCTACCACACACGCACAAATACAAATGGATGAGATCATCAGCGTAGCAGCAGCCTCTGCAGCAGAATGTCTCAACATACACAACTGAAAAAGCAAGGTCCTCCGATTCCACAAAATATGCGCCAACCAAACCACTTTTTATGTAGAAGCTTTGGAAGATTTAGAAGCCTTCACATACCTGGGCAACGTCGTCGATAAACAAGGTGGATCTAATGCAGATGTGAAGACCTGGATTAGAAAATCACGGAAAGCATTACTACAAGTGAACAACACATGAAACTGAAAACAACTATCAACTGTTGTAGAAGTCACAATTCTCAATACCAACGTCAACACAGTTCTATTTTATGAAACGGAAACGTGGAGAACCACGAAGGCAATCATCCAGAGGAAATAGGCGTTTATTGGCAGTTTTCTACACTTGATACTGAGGATACGCTGGCTAGATACCATAAGCAACAACCAATAATTGGAGAGAATCAGTTAGCCTTCTTCAGCTGAGGAAGAAATTTCGAAGATTCGTCGGAGATTATTATGATACACACTACGGAAATCACCCAGCTGCATTACAGGGCAAGCCCTAACTTTGAATCCTGAAGGCCAAAGAAAAAACAGAAGACAGAGGAACACACTGTACCGATAACCGTAAACAGACATGAAAAGAATGTAGAGAAGTTGTGTAGACCTGGAAGGGAAGATCCAGGACAAAGTATGTTAAAGAATATTGCACAGAATCCTATGATCCAAGGGTGCTAACCTGGTTAATAAATCGTTTAATACACACTGACATTTCAATGAACTGATTAATAACACCATTATTACTATCATGAAACGGACTCCTAGATAATAAATAAACCGAAAACTGGTAGATATATTCTTTTGATAACATGTTATTAGGAGATACCAGCTTCTCTCACAAGTAAATACCTAACATCAAACGGGTCTCACTGAACCACACAACAAAAACTGAAATGATCCTATCTGTACCAGAAAAATGTGAAAACGAAGAAAGTAAATGATACAGATTTGGATTCTAATGTGGTGGTGACCGAGGTGAAAATGAAGAAACGTAGAATAGTTAAACAGTCATGACTGCCATTTGGGAAGATTGATTTTGCCTATTTTAGCAATCTACGTTGATCATCCTTGACCGTGACGTTACTTGGTGAGTAGTTCAAAGTTCAGTTATCAAACTGTCGATCCTGCAATAGTCTACCCTTTTCGTTTGCGGTTTATTAAAACTACACTGGTCGTTCAGTCATATCTTAAGGCCTATGTTTATAGGGATCTTGCCCCTAACTTTTGAAGAGGTTCATTTGACAAAAGCTTTACTTCATGACATTCTGAAAATCTCATTATTCGTCTAGGACTTCAACAAGATACAGGCAAGAACTCAGACTTCAAGTATGCAGTATCAGATTGTATAGTTTTCCTATATTGGATTTAAATTCAACAGGAAATCTTCTCCTGTCCATGAAATGAATAAGATATTCAGCACAAATCTACGTAAAGTGCGAACGTTCCTTAAACAAGAAAATGGAACTGACGTTTTGGATTTTGTTGAAAATACTGAATTTTGATGAACACTAGACCAATCATTTCTTATATTAACGATAGGAGTTCTTGAATTTCCACTCCATGTCTTACTCGAAATCACAATGTGTTCATTTTCCCAAAATGAACAAAATGGTTGAAAACTTCGGAGAAAATGTCAAAAGGAATCAAGGATAGAGAAGTCATACGAAACCAATATCTGCTACTCAAAATGGCTGCTATTAAAAAATAGCACTAAATATATGCAGATTTCAAAATCCGCACTGTCAAATGAAAAACTTAGTGGCGATCGAGCCGTGATTGACTATGACCACCAGTGAATACGTATTACGATTCCGTAAGTGAGAAGGTTTATTCCATAGCAAAGAATGTATTTGCTGGCGATTTCGTGGTATCGAAAGAATACCGAAATCGTGCCAGAAAAGAGGACGAAATTACAGAGACAGTGGAGCCAAAGTGGTAACAACACAAAATAGAAAGTACAAAGTGTAAAAGACAACAATTACAGTAACACAATCACTGGTACGATTGGTTATAATAATGAATGTTTCGATTAAACCAATTGCTTTCTCTTCACATAAGTGGATTCACTACAAACTTACAACCCCAAAATTTCTAGAACTTCACCAATCCACATGCAAGAACTCAGACTTGAAGTATTCAGTATGAAAGTGCATTGTAATTTAACACCACAGTTTAATAGAATTTGAAATATTTAACTACATAGTCAGTGTATTAGTAAGCCTTTATACTTTCCTCACGTTGTATATCTGTATAAATATCCACAACGTGGTCTTAATCTACCTACACTTCTGTCGCATCTCCTCAACTGTCCAGCATTCCGATTTGAATTCTTCGCCTGTCTGAGATTCAGAACTATCTAAAGGTTTATAGATGTTCAAGTCACGAGACTATAAACGCGTCTATATACCAAGTAAGTTTGGATCTCACACATCATCTCAGATCTTTTATAGGAAGGAAGCAGATAGGATAAACCAGATGAAATAGTTGTATTTGCTGGCGATTTCGAGGTATCTGAGAAATGTTTGAAACGTGCCAGAGAATAAGCGAAAGTACAGTACAACCAAAACACAATGGAGGCCTCAAAGTGGAGAAGCAACTTGACCGTAGTGTAATGTCAATATACATACAAAAAAGTACGAATGAACAAATATTCTATGATACTTTTAATGGTACAGTTACCGATAATTATGAATGTGGCTATTTAACCAATCATGTTTTTACTCGTAAAAGTGAAATCACTACAGCAGCTCCTTGCCTAAAAAGAGTGAACTCTTGAGAAACACCGAGGTTTCATACATGAGACTGATTGGAAAACGTGCGAATGTAGGACGGAAGGGCTGACGGACAAGCAGTGATCCATGATCCTGTAGTTGTCACCGGAAGATTTCGACACAAAACGGCACCATGTTTAGCGTGCCATGTTTGCTGCCCAAGCTGGCGTGCCGTACCAACCTGATTTGTATCCGGGATATAAAGACGAATAATGTGCTTGTACCAGAAGGTCGTGCCCTTGAGTGATGCCGAGATGAGACAGCTATCGAAACGGGCAGCTACATTCAATCCACCGTAGTTGCTGCATGGTTCCAAACAGACGCCATCTTCCTTGCAAACCATCTGGAGAAGGGAGGCCAAAGGACTGTAGGGAGGACGAATTACACCTGTAGCAAGTAAAGCGTCAAACTCAAGCTCAATGAAAGCTAATTTGACAGGTGCCAGTCGGCGAGGTTTCGGAATGACTAGGGGTCTACGGATGATGACGTGGTGTATCACACGATTATTCGCCATTGGAATCCCTTCGAGAAGTTTGGTTAGTTGGGGGAATTTATCAAACAAAGCATGAAATACATTGTCA